AGAGAGAGAGAGAGAGAGAGAGAGAGAGAGGAAATGGGGGTACCCAATATAGGCGTACTGATAGTAGGTTTCTTGTTTCTTAATTTATCGACTTGACGTTGGCCTTTTAGAAAAAAAAGCATGACCCCACAAATCTATGCCGACGCTTATAAAAGTATGTGAGCATGACCCAACAATAACAAACGGAATAGTCAATTTCGTTTCGTTTTCATATTTTCAATTTATGAGCGTCCTTGTTTTGTAAAATTTTTAAAAACATGATGGGAGATACCGGCATGGCGGTCAATTTAGGTACGGATAGATATTTGGGCTTGGGGATTTAGATCTGAGATCTTTCTTGTGTGTCTTTTACGACTGTTAGCTTACTGTAATTATAAGAATATATTTACCATTATGCCCTTGTGTAATCTGCCAAATTTGAGATAGATCTAGATCTATACTGGCTCGCGTACGGTTGTTTTATTTGGGTCAGCAGCATCAGCAGAGAAGAGGAACGAATTCACATGAAATGGATGACAATGGTTCTCTAACCGACTCTATAGTAAGGCCACCTCTATTCTCACCCGGAGTGAGAATAGTGCAGGCGAGTCTTGTGGCTATTCTCACCCGGTGCGCGTTCACCAAATTTTGCGTTCACCCTAAACCACAGAATTCTACACTGTGATAACAGAAAAATTGTAGAATTCTGTGCCGTGAACAAACGTTCCATTACAACTGTAGCCTACTAAAAGTGTACAATTTTGTCTGTGGGCAGTGGAGAGAGAGAAAGAGAGAGAGGAGTAGCGCGAGAATTTCCGGGCAAAACAAAATGGCGACCCGCGTAGTTCGGCTCGATTCGAAAAGTTAAATAGCCGTAGCATCTTTGTAGACAACCAAATTAATTTACTTTTGTGTTTTAATTTTAACATCATTTTTTGGCCACCTCTATTCTCACCCGGGGTGAGAATAGTGCAGGCGGGTCTTGTGGCTATTCTCACCCGGTGCGCGTGTCAACAAATTTTGCGTTCACCCTAAACCACAGAATTCTACACTGTGATAAGAGAAAAATTGTAGAATTCTGTGCTGTGAACAAACGTTCCATTACAACTGTACTTGTAGCCTACTAAAAGCGTACAATTTTGTCTGTGGGCAGGGGAGAGAGAGAGAGAGTGAGAGAGAGAACAAAACAAAATGGCGACCCGCGTAGTTCGGCTCGATTCGAAAAGTTAAATAGCCGTAGCATCGTTGTAGACAACCAAATTAATTTACTTTTGTGTTTTAACATCATTTTTTAACTTTGTTTTGGTCAATTTGGTCGTCCACACCGATAGACAGTATTCAGAAAGAGACAGAGAGAGAGAGAAGAGGGGAGGAGTTGATCTTGCGAGAACTTACGGGCGGGTGAGAATAGCCACTTTCCTATAGACTAGATCTATATAGTAAATCGAAACTGAAACAAACGGAAAGGAAGCTAGGCTACGAAGATTGAAATAGAAAAAGCTTGATGCAAACGTAGTGATGGGTAAACAACACATCTAAAAATCTGTAACATTCTGATTGTTTTGTATTTGGAAGGGCTTTGTCGTTAAATTCTCAACGGGGGGGGGGGTGAAAATATAAACGAGGCTGGCTCTGTTTCTCCGAACATTCGGGAAAATAAACTTGAACTCTATTTCTTCGAACGGGTTTCTGTTCTCGAGATTTGTTGAGGATAAGTGAATGGAGTGGCCCGTGTGTGTGTGTGTAAGGTGTGAACGGATGGAGGTGGGGGGGTGGAGGGATTTTTTTTTTTTGGCCGGCACTATTTCTCCGAACGTTCGGGAAAATAAAGCTAGGCACTATTTCTCCGAACGTTCGGGAAAATAAAGCTAGGCACTATTTCTCCGAACGTTCGGGAAAATAAAGCTGGGCACTATTTCTCCGAACACTCTGAAATCACATCCTTTCCCGCAAATTTCGGATATTATATAGATCTATAATTATAGTATAGGCCT